ACAACTCTACTCCTTCTAGCTAAGAGAAAAGCCTTCAAGAGTTAAAGATAGGGTATTCTCACTGATGATCGGCCGCATGCCCCACTGGAGAAGATAAGACTGAGCCTGAGTAACTGTATTCAGAGCACAATGGAAGTGAAGTAACCAAAGACAAGGCATTACATGTGTGGATACTAGTAATGGTATACAAAGTGGTCAAACCTAGAAGTAAAGAGCAGAATCCATAATGGACCACTCCAGGACTTGCTGTATTTATTTAGTGCTTGATAGTGCAGGGTTGGATGCTCAAGAATCTTTTAAGATATGACAGATACAGACCTTGAGCAAAACATTCTCTACATCTGTCCACTGAACAAGATGTTGATCAAAAAATTACTTAAAAGAAAACTACAATAACGAACACACAGTCCTGATTTTTTTCACATTAGCTCCACATTATAGCCTTACCAACAATACAGAAAGTAGCAGCTAAAGCTTCCACGCAGGACAGCTTGCACGGTCGGCCGTAGTTTACAGGATTTGCTGCCACCAAGTAAGGCAACAGTCGGAGACAGCCTCCCCTCATTTTACTAAATGGTGTTTCTTCCAACTTGGCCCACGAGCAATCTATGACTGCAACTCCATTCTGAGCTACAACCTGTCTGAAAAACAAACTTTATTGTAGTTGGGCATCTAATATCTCATTTTAAATGTTTAGTTCTTTGGATTAAGGCTCGTACTGTGTACAAGAACTACCCCCCCCCCCAAAGTGCAAACAAGCAATTTTTCATACGTGTGTTAACTGACTTGCCAAAACACTCCAAGTATATGGCAGAGCTAGGAACATAGAGTTCAGCTCTTCTTAGTGCGTGTGCCTTCACCACAAAACCATCTTTTCATTGTGAAAGAATGGACCTTTTTCAAGCTCCACAAGATACCATCACTTCTACAGTGTCAAGTCTCCCGAGAATAAGTGCTCTAGTTAGCAGGAATTTGATTATTTTCTTACTTGATTCATGGAACACACCTTCACAGATAAAGAGAAACTGATCACAGAACTAAAAATTAATGGTAACTTAGGTACAAGTGATCATGACAATCACAATGTGCAAGCAGAGTAAAGTTCAGACCAGTGATATATATTGCTGGTGCTTTAAAAGGGCCAATTTCACAAAGCTGAAAACAGTTGAGCCAAATCAGTTGGGAAGAAGAATTTAATCAGAAAAATGTGACTGATAATTGGGAATTGTTTAAGAACACCTTACCAGATGCCCCAAAAGCCACAATCAAAGAAAAAAGTTGTACTGATTAAAAACCAACAATCTGGTTGTGTGTGTGAAAATGGAGGCAGCTATAAAAAACAAACAAAAAAACATACATGGAAGTCAGAAGGTAGGAATTGTAGAAAATTGACCAGCGAAGCAAAGGGACACAAGGATAAATCTATGGTCAGCTCAGTTCAGGACAATATGTTTAAGTATTAGGAACAAAAAAAGTCTTAATGGTACTGGTCCGTTACTAGATTAAAAATGGCAGAATTATCAATACTAATGCATAAAGGAAGAAGTGTTCAGTAAATATTCTGTATTTTGGAAAAACAGATGATGTAGATATATGACAAGTCTCGTTCCATTCCACTAGCATCTCAGGAAGATATGAAACAGCAGCTATTAAAGTTAAATATTTTTAAATCAGCACCCAAGAATTTTAAAAAAGAGCTGATAAGGATCTCTCTGGACCACTAATATTGATTTTCAGTGCATCTTAGAACACCGAGCAAGTTTCAGAAGACTGGAAGAAAGTTAATATGGTGTCAATATTTAAAAAGGGTAGATAGGATTTCAATTGAACTTTGATCCCAGGCAATATAATGGAGCAGCTGATATGGGACTGAATTACTGGAGAATTAAAAGAGGTTAATAGAATTAATGCTACTCAAGATGGGTTTATGAAAAATAGATCCTGTCAAACTAATTTTCATAGCCTTTTGATGAGATTACAAGTTTGGTTGATAAAGGTAATACTGGTGTTGTACTATACTTAGCATTCTGTAAAGCATTTAACTTGGTACTGCATGACATTTTGATTAAAAGTCTAAAAAGGTATAAAATTAACATGGTACAGATTAAATGGATTAAAACTGGGTAACTAATAGGTCCCCAGGTAACAGTAAATGGGGAATCATCATCGAGTGGGTGGGTTTCTATGGGGGTCCCTTGGGGATCAATTTTTTGCCCTACACTATGTGACATTTTTGTTAATGACCTGGAAGAAAACAAAATAATTAATGAAGAAGTTTACAGATGATAAATTTGGGGAGTTGTAAATAATGAAGAGGGCAGGTCACTGATTCAGAACAATCTGGATTGCTTGGTAAAATGGGTGCATGCAAAGTATGTGTTTTAATTTGGGTAAATGTAAACAGCTAGAAACTGTAAGCCATACTTACAGGACGAGGGACTCTATCCTGGGAAGCAGAGACTCTGAAAAAGATTTAGGGTTGGTGGTGGATAATCAGCTGACCATGAGCTCTGACTGCAATGCTGTGGCCAAAAAGACTAATGCAAGCCTTGGATACATAAACAGGGGCACCTCACGTGGGAGTAGAGATGTTTATTCACCTCTTTATTTGTCACTGGTGTAACCGTTGCTGAGATCATGTATGCCGTTCTCATGTCCATAATTCAAGAAGGATGTTTAGAAATTGGAGAGGAGTGAGACAGGAGCCACAAGAATGATTAGTAGACTCCAGGAGCTTAATATATTTAGCTTAACAAAGAGAAGGTTAAGGGGTGACTTGATCACCTGCAGCTACAAGTACCTACAGAAGGAACACATTTAATAATGGGCTCTTCAGTCACCAGTGAGACAGGTGTAACAATCAAGCAGATGAAAGCTGAAGCTAATCAAATCAGACTGGAAATAAGGCATACATTTTTACCATTGGAACAGTTTACCAAGGATTTTGGTGGATTCTCCCTCACTGACAATTTTTAAATCAAGATTTGATGTTCTAAAAGATCTACTCTAGGAATTATTTTGGAAGTTCTATGGACTGTGTTATACAGGAGGCTAGTCTGGATGATCAGAATGGTCCCTTCTGGTCTTGAAATTTATGCACAGGACTGGACTAGATGAGGTCTCGAAGTCCCTTCCAGTCCTATGATTCTATGACTTTCTGAAATTTGAAGCCTGGATTTCATAGTTGGCAGTTTAAAAAAAAAAAAAAGCTACCATGAACTGGGCACTTTAGATATGGAATCACTAGGAAACACTAGTTGTGGGCCTCATAATATTAACCACACTTTACTGTATCAAATATTGATTTATAAATAAATAAATAAATAAAGAGATAGATAAAAAGCAGTACATCTGACCCATTATCAGCATCTCTGCATAATCCTGGGGCCTGTTAAAGAAAAAGGAAGCTACTTTCCATGCATAATTAACTATATTAACGGAATAGGTAAGGCAAGATACCCCCATGTTACCATTTTTGTTGACAATCAAATAATGAAACGTCTTCCTTAGATCAGCTAACAGTACATTTGTTAACATCGGCACAGAATGAACACCAGCACCTCTCTATGAAAACTCATAATACAGCAAGAAGTAAATAAGCATGTGATAGTGGATTTGTACCTAAGAAATAACACTCTAGGACTGCAATTCACATGGAACCTACTTGTCAGCTGCAGAGACATACTGAGTTGCCATAGGACTGAGGATGAGCCCCGGGAATCTCTGATTGAGACGCAGGTTTCGGAGCAGGCCTTTGCGAGCCAATTTCCTCCCCGTGCATTTCTTGGGATCGCAGTGTCCCAGCTCCCACATGGCAAGAGGGCATGGGAATCTCACCTCTGCAGCATCCCCCTCTCCAGCGCCATCCTGCTGAACGCAGGCTGCAAACACAGAGCAGAGCTCAGCCTTCTCCTCAGAGGCCCAAAGACTATAGAAGGAGTGGGGCTTGGCAGTGGCTTCCCCACCCCCGCCGCAGGTGCGGCTCAGCAGCAGCTAGAGCTGTCAACCCTGTTTCTCCAGGCGTCTCCCAGAATCGGGCTCTATCTTCCGGAGGCTACTGAAGCCAAACCGGGAGATTTTAGGCTGCTGAAAGTCCAGCAGCACAGCAGAGCAAAGGCAAGCTCCCTGCCCGCCTGGCCCCTCGTGGCAGCGGTCAGCAGGTCCCTACGGCCCCTGGGGAGGTCTAGGGGGTCTCCGCGCACTGCCCCTGCTGCTAGCGCCGACTCTGCAGCTTCCATTGGCTGGGAACTGTGGCCAATGGGAGCTGCAGGGGCAGTGCCTGCAGGCAGTGGCAGCTCGCAGAGGCCCCTGCCCAGCGGCCCCAGGGAGTTGCTGGCTGCTTCCGGGAGCCTGCCTTAACCCCGCTGTGCCACGGACCAGGAGCCGCCTAAGACACCCCTCACGCATCCCAGCCCCCAGAGCACCCAGCCTCCCTCCCAGAGGTCGCACCCTGCCCCTCAGCCCCCTGCCCCAGGCTCAGCCTGGAGCCCCCTCCCACACGCCAAACCCCTTGGCCCCAGCCCAGAGCCGGCGCCCCAGCCGCCTGCTGCAGCCCCATGAACAGGGGCCGGGCAGGGGCAGCAACGGCCGGCGGGGGCCGCGGCCGCGGGACGGGGCGTTGGGTCTGTGCCATTAGGCAGTGGGGAGCTAGGCGGCGGCCTGTACCGCTGGGGCGGGTGCGGCTCGGCGTCTCCTGTTCCCCGATCACCGGGGCGTGGGCGGAGGCCTGCGGCGTCTCCCCCGCCCCCGGCGGGCGGGCAGGTCCGTGGGGCAAAGGGGGCGGTTCGGTAACCGGCCCCCTGGGGCGGAAGCCGCGGGGTCCGGGCACCTGCCAGCGCCGCCTGCGCGTCCGCCGCGAAGGTCTCCAGGGACTTGGGCGCGCGCCGGGCGCGTCCCTCCGGGCGGCGAAACGGCTTTTTCCTGCCCATGGCTGGCGGGGCGCCCGCACCTCGGCCGCCGCCGGGCCTGGCCGACCGGACCGGACCGGAAGGCGCCGCGCTGCGCGGTTCCCCGGGAGGCGTTTCCGCTTCCGGGAGCAATGGCGGCCGGGGCGCTGCTGCTCGCGCTGCTGAGCGCGGGGTTCGGTGAGCGCCACGGGGAAGGGAGGGAGCCCACGAACGTGGGTGGTACGGAGTGGGGGCGGAACCGGGCCCCCGGCCGCCCCCCTCCCGCCAGCGCCGCCGCCGCCGCCGCCGCCGACCGGGAGGCCCCCTCCCCCAACACGCTCGCAGCCGGCCCGCGGCGGGTCCCCGTGAGCCCCGCGGCCGCTGCCAGCGCAGCGAGCTTCCCCCCACTGACCGTGCCCTCTCCGCTCTTTCTTATAGGTCTCTCTACGTCAGCTGGTAAAATGAAAATCGTGGAGGAGCCGAACACCTTTGGGTGCGTGGCCCTGGTACTTCCCCGTGCTGACCTTTTCTTGTTACTGACAGCAATTTGCTATCCCTCTGCGTCCGCCGGGCACGTTTACTTCTATCCCAGACACGAAGTTTGGCAGTGATGATCCTCATCTTCCTGGCAACCTCCTTGGCCTGTGGTTTGCACCCTGAGCAAACTTGTCTTACAGAAAAAAACATAAAAATAAAAATGTGTTTTTACACCAAGAGAGCTCTTTCAGTGTAAAATCCTAGTGGAAATGAGGCAAAGGTAGTTTGTACTTTGATGTGGCAAGTTGAAAAAACTGCTCCCTCATATGGGGTTTATCTTGACTAGCTGCATCAAGGTTAAAACTACAGTGCCTTGCCTCCACAAGGATTTTACACTAAAGTAATTATCTTGATGTAAAATCACACACTTTTTTGCTGTGAGGATCTAACCACAGCCCTGCTCTCTGTGATCAAGTGAGTGCCACACAAAGAACTACCCGCCTCCAAGTCACAAGTTCAGATCTAGGGACTGTCACCTGGGGTATTTCAGATGGCACCTGTAGGTGATGCTGTTGCTCAGGCAGCTGGCTTTAAGAATTAAAGCCAAATCTAATTAGAACCAAAGTTGAATCCAGAATGCTGAGCATCGGTTCGATTGGAAAATAATGCATAGCGTTCTAGGAATGAGGATGGGGCTATTACCTGTGAGATGGACCTTGTGCCAATGGGTAATGAGACAAATTGAGTCCATTCCTTGAGATGTCTAAAGCTTTCCTAAAGGAGGGCAGGATGCAGTAGACCAGGTTCTCTCTAAGAAGTGGCTGTTTGGCCCTTTTATGTAAGAAACCATGTTCTGACATTGCCAATGTATTGCTATGTCTTCAACTTGCCGTGTTTGGGGAAACGTGAAAAGGTCATGGTGAGGTAACTGGCATCATCTGGAGTCCCTAGATTTCTTTTATCTTTCAGTCTGGTTTCAGGTCTGATGACACAGAAATGGCTCTGGTCTTTTGGCTTGGTGATTTGTCCCAGTGTGATTGGGTGTCCAGGTTGATGATTTTAGGTGCAACCATGTATTCTACTTAGGTGTGAGAGTGTCTTGTGCTCATAGCTCCTCCCCTGGCTATCTGAGGCAGTACTGCCTCAACCCCCTTGCATCCGATGAAGTGAGCTGTAGCTCACGAAAGCTCATGCTCAAATAAATTGGTTAGTCTCTAAGGTGCCACAAGTACTCCTTTTCTTTCAACCCCCTTCAGTTTCTTCTTACTGCCTAGGGCTGGAGTCAGAGCTCTCTGTGGTTCCTAACCTCACAATCTCTATTTCTTAGTGACTTTTTAAATTGTATATACAGTGGACCCTCGCTAGAACACGTGCCTATATAGTGTGAATTCGCATATAATGCGGTTGCGGCCATGGATCCCAAATTTAATTAATTGCAATTCATTTTAACGCGGTCCCCGTTATAATGCGATACAGTGCATGGATCCCAAATTCCGCGTTCTAGCGAGGGTCCAATGTAATTAATTAGTACTCTTAGTATCGTGCTAGTTAGATTTAGTGTTAGTTAGCTTTTATTTAAGTATTTCTGTGGTGATGCCCTCACCAGGGATTAAGCATTATCTGTTTTGTGGGGGAGCAATCCCAACAACAATCCCCACATGCATGCTTGCTATGTTTGGGCAAAGTCCACTTCAAGGAGTGGTATTCAATTTCCAAATAGTGCACAAAATGCCACTTAGATGGCAAGGGATCTTCATCTAAAGCAGCACCTGCTGGGGACAGGCTGGGTTGCTTTCAAAAGGCTTGGGGCTCGATCACCACTGACAGCTGGATCCTAAGCAGCATCAGATCAGGCTATGCCATTCATTCCTTTCCATCCCTTCCTCCCACCCTGCTTCCCTGTCCCTCTTCAGGAACCCCTTTCACAAGATACTGCTCCTCAAGCAGGTTCACTCTCTACTGGCTTTGGGAGCAGTGGAGGAGGTTCCATTGGAACACCGGGCCCAGGTACTTTTTGGTGCCCAAATCCAAGGTAGGGGTAAGATCCAGTCTTGACTTTCACAGCCTCACCAAATGTATCAGATACACAATGTTCTGAATGGTCAATCTATTGACTATTCTCCCCACATGGTCTCAGAACAAGTGGTTTGCTGCTCTGGATCTTTAGGACACGTACTTTTGGTTGGGAATTTTGCTGAGCCACGAGAAAATTCCTTCGATGCATCATGGCAGAGTGCCATTTTCAGTACACTTCCTTTTGGCCTCTCTTTTGCCTCTCAGGTTTTTACCAATTGGATGGTCTTGGTCACATCTCCCTGTATTTGGATGACTGATTACTGAGGGGCAGCTCCAGAGAGACAGTCCTTTCTCACATCAACACTACACTATGCTTGCTCAACCATTTGGATCTCATCCTAAACAGCGGGAAAGTCAACTTTGGTTCCCCCTCATAAAATTGAGTTTATTGAAGCCCCAACAGAATCTGAGTTCAAGAGCATCTTTGCTGACTGACCATTTTCAGGCGATTTGCTACCTTTGCCTAAGTCTGCAGTTGCAGCCTTCGATGACAATTTGGATATGCCTGAGGCTCTTGGGCCATATGTCCACTTGTATGTAAGTGGTATAGTTTGCAAGGCTGTGGCTTCACTCCCTTCAAATATGGCTCTGGACAGTTTACTGTCTGACTCTTCACCTCTTGGACAAATAGGTCCATCTCCCTCCATTGCTCCTAGACTCCTTGCAGTGGTGGACACTTCTGGAGAATGTTTGTCAGGGTGTTCCCTTTGTCTGGCCATAACCAACCAGTGCCTCCCCGATGGTCTGGGGAGCACATCTGGGGTCCGTGAAAGTTCAGGGTCTGTGGCTGGAGCAGGGGCCCCACTTCATATCAACGTGTTGGAACTTCGGGCCATTTATAATGCGTGTCATGCTTTTCTGGACCATATTGGGTTCAGTGGTTCACATACTTACCAACAATACCACCATGTTGTATTATGTGAACAGGCAAGGGAGAGCATTCCGTGTTGAGGAGCATATTCCTCCCATAGCTGATCACTTGCCCGGGGTCCAGAATCATCTCGCAAACCATCTCAGCAGGAATTTTTCCCATAGTCGCGAGTGGTCCATGAAGACAAAGGCCTCTGGGTCATCTTTGCAGCTTGGGGCATTCTGAAGAACTTGGAGTACTTGCTTCACCTTCAGTTGTCAGACCTTGTGCGTAGCTCATTGAGAGTGCATCTGGCAGTGATGTCAGCATTTCATTCCCCCATTCAGGGAAGATCAGTCTTCTCCAATGCCATGGTAGCAAGATTCTTAAAAGGGCTTCTTCATCTCCATCATCTTGTCTGAGAGCTGGTTTCTCTGTGGGACCTTAACATGGTCTTAGTGACTTTGATAGGACCTCCATTTGAGCCCCTGGCATCTTGTTCATTTCAACTTTTGTGTCATAAGACTGCATTCCTGGTCGTGATAATCTACAAGGAGAGTCTGTGAGTTCCAGGCTCTGATGTCAGAGCCCCTTTATACACAGGTTTCAGAGTAACAGCCGTGTTAGTCTGTATTCGCAAAAAGAAAAGGAGTACTTGTGGCACCTTAGAGACTAACCAATTTATTTGAGCATATTTATTACAGCTGTAGCTCACGAAAGCTTATGCTCAAATAAATTGGTTAGTCTCTAAGGTGCCACAAGTACTCCTTTTCCTTTATACACAATTCTTCAAGAAAAAAGTGACTTTATGACCAGACCCAAAATTTTTGTCTAAAGTTGCTCAGTTTAATTTGAACCAGGTGGTGTTATTTCCTAAGACACATTGACCTCTGGAGAAGTAGCATCTCCATAGGTTAGATGTCAGATGATGTCTAGCCTTTTATATGGACAGGATTAAACTGTGTCATGCTTGCCTCATCTGCTTGTGTCATATGTAGATCGCATGAAGGGGCAACTGGTCTCTTCACAGATGGTCTCTAAATGGATAACATGCTGTATCAAGACTGCATATGAAATAGCTTCGGCTATACCTCAGTGGGTGCGAGTTCATTTTACGAGAGATAGAGCAATGTCAGTAGCATTCCTCGGTGACATCTCAATATTGGACATTTGCAGGGCTGCTGTGTGGTCATCGATCCATACAGTTATGAACCATTATGCCATTACCTATCATCAGAGTAGATGCAAGTTTTGGTAGGGCGGTCCTGCAATCCTTGTTTAGGTAGACTCAGCCTCGCCTCCTGGGGTGCATACTGTTTGTGAGTCACCTAAGATGGCTGCATCTACTCAAAGAAGAACCACAGTTACAGTAAGTAACCATGACCCTACGAGGGGTTCATGTGATCATACATGTCGTTCTCATTGAAGACAATGAAAACTATAGGTCCTCAGGACCTTTGAAAATCAGACTATTATTATTCAGGTATGTAAATATGGATTTAGAATCCAGGTTTGATGGTTTTGGCTATTGTTTTCAATATGACAGTCCTTTAGATGCTCAGATACTAGGGTGCTGGGGGACATATTAAATACCTAGATAAAAATATTCTAATTTAATCTCATTGCAAATGGAAAAAAAAATTTAAATTAGTCTAAATCATTTTAAATTAGTCTTTTTTTCTTTTTTAAAAGATTGAACAACCCATTCCTACCTCAGACAAACAGGCTCCTTCCAAAGATGGCACCTTCCCCAACCTCAGGTGTGTGCAAATGTCAGTTATTATATGTGTAGTTAATACCACTTTTGTGAATATAATCTCTAAAAGAATCTGTGTGTGTAATTTTTGATTGCAGTTGTCTAATAGTAAGATAGACTTTGGCAGAAGCACTTACCACAGTATAATATCTACATGATTAGTCCATGTTCTTTAATCCAATCATGAAAATGCTTCTTAGCCTTATGGATGAATAATTTCTTCTCTAAATTTCACAGATAATTATTGGCATCCCAGATGCTACCAGTTAGTACTTATCACTTATATAGCACCTAACCTAGTTAAAATAATTTTCCTGTGTGACTCTCTGTGTGCCTCAATTCCAAGTCTCTAAAATGGGAATAACAGTGCTTCCCTACCTCACAGGGTGTTTGAAGGATAAATACATTAAAGATTGAGGCACGAAGATACTATAGTAACTAGGGCAAAATAAGTACCTTAGTTTAGATTTCTTGGATGCTGATTGCCTTATGCTCTGTAGAATGTTAAATCTGCAACCTGTATACATACAATTCTCTGATCATGATAACTCTGTTTAAATTTAACCAACCCATTGTCCCTTTTGCAAGCCATTTCATTTTATTTTCAGGTCCTGCACATCTCTTTAGGCTTGCTGGCAAGTGTTTCAGTTTTGTGGAATCTACGTGAGTAACTGGTTTAGGTGCCTGACTGTATTTTTAGGATTGGCAGTGATATAGGCCTTCATTTTATTTTTTAAAATCTGACATATTTTGTTTCTTTAGGTATAAATATGAGTTCTGTCCTTTCCATAATGTCACTCAGCACGAGCAGACCTTTCGGTGGAATGCCTACAGTGGAATTTTAGGGTGAGACAATCCAGACATTTCTTTTTACTTTAGTTTGTGAGTTGCACTCTTTGTAGAACTCCTGAAATCAGCACTTTTTAAATTAGCTATAGTTACGTTACCTTGAAAATAAACTAATCTTGGCATTCAGTCCAAACACTGTTCCCTAAACAGTTTTCAGTTACACCAATGCCACTATCCTGTAGAAGCTGATGAGGTTGTAAGGGTGTAACTGAGAGCACAATTTGTGTGAAAGTACTGCAAAATGTATCTTGTTAAACCTCTTCTAATAGCCAAATCATGGACTTTTAGTAAATTAGGCTCCTTGGCCATTTATTTTAATAATTAATAAGTTCTTATTTGACTATAACATTTTATTCTTGAGACTTAATTTAAGAATATGTAAAATAAATCAATCTGACATCTTTCAACTGTAGGCATCATCTAGTTGCTGCTGTTCTCATTACTTTGTAGCTAATGATGAAAATAGAGTTTTGGTGGCTATTGCTTTAAACTTAAAAATTGCATGTTAGCTAAGCCATGAGAATCCAGAATTTGGAAATCCTACTTGGTCTTAACATATGCCAAGAGTAAAATATGAAAGAGGTCTCTAAAGGTAAGTATTCTTTCTAACAATCCTTTTCCCATTTCTGGGTCACGTGTAGCATTACATCAACTGCTTGAGATTGCCAGGAATGGGAATTATCCCATATATGGGATCATGTCTCTTAAAACACAAAATAAAAAGTCTTAAGGCAGAACTGACATAACTACAAAATGGAGGCATTATTGTTGAGTATGAGTTTTATTATTGGACGCTCTAAGAGCTCAAAAATTAAGTGTATTCTATGTCTTTATAAAGATTTCCCTTTCCACTAAAATAAAATTTTCCCCATCTCACAACCCCAGGAAAGCCTGGGAAAGCTGATAGTACTTTTAATGTGTCCTAATGGTCAACAAATTTGGGCTAAGTTGGACCAACAGGGCAATAAATTCCATTCTCTGAAGATACCATACCTCCAGCCTTCTTCCATTTAAACCATCTGTTCTGATGTTGAATGGCTTAGCTAATTGTAGTTCCAGTGGCATAACACAAAAAGACATGCAGTTTGAGGTAGCCAGGTACCAAACCATTAAGGGCTTTATAGTTCAAAATTAACATCTTACACTTAACCCAAAAACAGACTGGAAGCCATTGTCAACTGCACATGACATGCATTTCCTGCAAGAAACACAAAATAAGTATACAACCACAATTTACATTAGCCAAAGTTTCCATAAGCACTTTCTCCTTAAATCTCAGTTTTGAGTTGCATATAGCTCTCAAGTGTGATATCTTGAAATGAAACTCCTACTTGGTCTGGGCCTAGAAGTAATTTTAAATATATTTAATAAAAGCCCATTCAGCCTGTAGAGTCAGTGCCTAGATCCAGGTAGAGGAGCTAGCATACATTTAATTTAAAAACAAAGACTGATTTAAAGGTGCCTTCCTCTGTAAATATTTCCTATGTGCAGATGGGTAGAATGTGAGTGAAGAGCTGGTCTTCCCTGCAAATAGGATAGTCAGAAAGTCTGAAAGGAGGAGGTTACACCCAGAAATATAGTGGGCCTTAGGACCAGACAGTGGCAGAGACTAGTTTGTAGTCACTCTTGTCAGCATCAGAGAGAATCCTACAAGCTAGCTGAGCTGCAGTGGATTCCTAGACAGCAGTAGGGAGCCCATGCCGGAGATAGGTCTTTAAGCTGTGAATACCCAGAACCACTGAATGGTTAGATTTGTCTGGAAAGTGGGAGAGTAACAGAATTGTTGGAGAAAGTTCCTGACCTGAGAAAGTGTTCGGGATGCAGAGACACTGCACTGAGCTACTGAACAAGGGTATTTATCCATTTCAGAAATATTTTTAAAGGACCACTTTAGTCCAGGATCAGATTCTTGGGTGCAAGGGGCAAAACATCCTATGTTGCAGAGCCCTAGCTATGGGACTCTTGGCCAGAAATCATCAAAATGAGCCTGAGCTTGACTACAGGGGGGGTTGGACTAAATGACCTCCTGAGGGCTCTTCCCACCCTAATTTATGATTCAGGTCTAAGTTCAAGTCCTGTGTTTTCAAAAAGGCCTGTTTCCCACACATCAGAAAGGAGCCTCTTTTTACATATGCTGTAGTCAGTGCTATCTTTATTTGTTGTTTATTGCTTAGATACTTTGGGGATAGGTGCTTTGGAAATGTTTAAGATATTTTTTCAGGGGGTTAGCAAAACCTGGTTCTTTCCACAATCAAGGACTTTTGTTTCAGTTAAGCAAAAACGAAAACTGATGTTCCAAGAGGACAGATGTGTTCTTGTTTCAGTTTCACTTTAAAATGTTTATACATCATGAAAGATAGTGGATGGACTAACTTGATGTTTTAAAGGATTTCTTGGACTGAGAAACAAAAATGAGGATTTTACATATTTGACAATGAAAGCTACTGAGTATTTTTAAAGCGTGTGATTATTCTTTCTACTCAAATTAGATAATTCCAAAAGTTTAGTATCTAAGTCCCTCCAGTTGTTCTGCTAAATGCCTTCAAACTCCAGGTACAGAGAATCTGTGTCTTGGAGATCGCAGTGCATTCTGAATTGGGTGCCAAATCCTAAAAGGCAAGACCTTGCATTATCATGTAACAATAATATTTTACTTTTCTGCATTTGTTTCCTCCAGTAGTTTGATAGGCACCTTACAGATCATATATTTTTGGTCCTGCTTTGAGTAGGGGGTTGGACTAGGTGAACTCCTGACATCTCTTCCAAGCCTAATCTTCTATGATTCTATGATAAAGTTCCTGCCTCAGAGAGCTTAGTCTAAATAGACACCATACACATACACACAAAAGGAAAGATATGAAAAGCAAAGTGATTAAAAATTGAAGTGTTGGTTTGTTAGCCCCACAATTTTTGTATGGTTCGATGTCTTTTTCAGTAAACTAAGGGAAGGGTGTGAATGGGGCAGGCTGAGGTTTATGGATTGCCTGCCTTCTACTGTGTTTTAACATTTTCAAAGAGCTGTACAAATGTTATTTGTCAGGGCACCTCTGTGAAGCAGTAAGTATTATTCCCATTTTTACAAGTGGGAAACAGAACAACAGAGGTGAAATGACTTTTCTAATGACCTTACGGTGGCTGTTGTAAAGGCAGGCTTGCTCGTCTTCTCTCCCTAGATGACAAAGAAGTCCATGATCTCTGCATGGTTTCATGTGGATGCACAAGGCGTGGTTGCAATATTAACAGTGTTATAATACTGATGTATGGGGCTCCAGGAGTTTGCAATCGCAAAGGGGGTGATCTTGGCTATGCAGCAGCATTTAAATGGGGAGGTAACATCCAGCTTAAATGACCTCCCAGAGCGGTAGAGTGAACATAGGTAAACAGACAGCTTGGTCCTGATGTGGTGTGATGCAATGCAGTGTGAGAGAGCAACTGGAGGACTGCCAAGTCAGTGCGAAATACAGAAGTATCCACAAAAACCCTTTTCTGCACTAATTAATTCTGAAATAAACTTTCAAAGTGGATTATCTAATTTGCAATAATTGGCACTTCATTTGAAAGAAGAATTGTGTTCTATGAACCAAGGGCATTTTAATTAAAAAAAAAAAAAAAAGTTAGTGTGAAAAAACCTTGGGTAGACAATCCCTAAGGCTAACCTCTGAGTCAGGATTCTATCCTGGCCCCCAACCTGGGTTGATGGTGAGACCACAGTGCCACTCTTGTGACTGTCATGAGTTTTATGGTCTAACGGAGAATATTTCATTTTAAATTGGAATAGGTCACTTTCCAGAAATATATTGTTCTCTTCACTGACAAGTTGTGAAGAGTGAGCATGTTTTTGAGTTTGTATTCTTGTTTCACCCATCTGCTAACATACGTTGATTGGGCTTACTCTGTATTCTGAGTAATTGAGAAGATTGGAGTTTGGTAATGCCTCTTTCAAACAAATTATTGATGACAAAATCAAACCCTTTTTCAGTTTTATTTGGTTAAGAAAGTGTGGAAATGGTTTTGAGACATGTCAGAATAACCATAGTGCTCAGAAACTACTGTGATGGACTCTATAAGTAATTAAAGAACTCCACTGTGGTTATGAGGTAATTGATCTGTGATGGGGCAGATCTGGGCAGTAAGAAAAGGAGATATTAAAGGACCTTCAAAAATTGAAATTGATAAAGTGAATTTTAATACAGTGTTAGAGTATTTCTGTTTTTCTTACCAGGTTTTTAACTTTTCTCCCCAAAATTATAAAACAAGTCTTTCGAGCTGTTCTCTTTTTCCAGCATTTGGCATGAATGGGAAATTTACAACAACACATTTGTTGGCATGTGGATGAGAGAAGGGGATTCATGTGAAACCAAAAACAGAGAGACAAAGGTACAGTAATTAATCATCCTGATGCAGTTAATGCAGCTGGCATGTTTGTACCAGTTTAAACTATTAAAGCCATTAATATACCATAGGACTTGAAAACTTAGATGGGGCTTTACAAATTGAGATCTCTTCCTGCCCAAAGAGTTCATAGCTTAGGATATGAAGTAGAAAAATGCAAGATGAGATGTGGGACAACAGTTAGGAATAGAGGGTAAAACCAGGATAAAAGGCTGATGATGTTTTCACTCACACCAGTCTGGAGGCTTTAACTCTTTCTTTTTATTCATTACCATTACCACTAGGGACAAATGCTGTGTAACTTCTGCTATGGGCCACTGCTACATAAGAGGAAGAGAAATAGGAGTTACTTGTGGTACTAGAGTTGCCAGCCACTACTGGATGACACATGTCTAGGGGGTCACGGGAGAGAGAACTAGGTGGTTTAGTTAGTTAGTTGAAAGGAAACCAAGTGGCCACGAAACTTGTATGGGAAAAGTAGAGGGCCAAGTCACAAAAGCGTGTGCAGGTGAGAGAGGAGCAGAACCGATGTTGGCAGAAGGGGTGGGAGGTGAAATGAAAAGCAAAAAGAGACAGTATAATTAGCTTTTGTCAAAAAGACAAAACTATTAAAAACAGTTACAATACATGACTCTTACATGTGAGCAGTTGCTGTTGCTGAAAAGGGATGTTACATGATTGTGAATGGGAAGGAGATGTCCAAAAGACTCTGAAAAGATGTGGTCCATACTATGTAAAAAATCTGAGAACTCCTGCCTTAGACCTCTCTCCTCCCCTTGTTAAAATAATGTTTGCACTTCTCTAGGTCCTTCCTAGAGATGAAGGAGCTTTACAAAATTAAATCTCAGATTTCTCTGTTGCTATTGCTATTGATTTTATGTGGAAGCACTTAGATATTACAGTGATGGGCGGCTGTGTAAAACCCTAAGATAGATAGGTTGATCAATGGGAGAGGTGGGTAATGTAGTGACTTGGCCAAGATGACAGAAGAATCCTGTTGGAGAGCCAGCAATAGAACCAAGGTTTCTGATTTCCAGTGCACTGTCTTACTATGACAGAGTGCTGGGAGCCTAGAACAGACCCAGTACTCTGTCACTAAGGTACTACCTATTCCCCCCTGGAGTGGATTTAATTGGAGGGAGGGTGCACAATTGTTTAATTAGGCAGGAAGCTGACAAGCTAGTGAGAGCAACCAACCTGTCATCTGGGAGGTTAGAGGACAAGAAGAAAGTGCAAGGGGAGTGGCTGGTAGGGACTTGGGGAGGCAGGATGTCAGGATGAGGAGATCTGTCCCTCTCCTTCCCTGGATAGTGGGCTAAGGGGAAAGTTTCAGCTATATATTTCTTCACAAGGCTGTACTGGTGTTAAAAATAAAAAATTGCGCTTATAAACTGGGAAGCATCCAGCCTGTTTGTGTTGATCCAAGGGGTGGAGAAGGGAGCCTATTACGCATGCCATAAGAGCATCCTTTCTTCCTGTAGCCACACTGAAGATATATTTGGTCTTCTAGTGTTGCATGATTTCTAATATTAAGAATTTGAATCCTCCTTGGGCTTTTGCTTGTAAAAGGTCATGAAACATTAAAGCTGAAAATGTAAAGATCATAATGAGCATCTACAATGTAGGGTAGATCAATATTCTCTGGAAAAATTAAAGGACATAAGAGCCTGGTGTTTAGTGCTTTTTACTTTGTACTGCTATTTAGGAGACCTGGATGCAATTTTTCACTGTTCATAGGCTGGTAGTCCTTCAGAGGTGGGAGCGTGCATCACTCAGTAGCAAATGCACCTGCTGAGTGATGCTGACAGGCTCTGAAGGGCATCTGATTTAGTGTGTCTCTGTTGGAAGTTGTGGTGACTTAGGTGGGGTGAAGGTGGAGGAACCACTTCCCATTGGGAAAGAAACAAGCTTGTTCCATTCTTTAAAATAACTTCATCTGAAAAAGACTTAACTAGTGATTGTGACCTCTTTCTTCTGCACTGGGTAAAATGATGGCAGCACTGAGAGCTGACTACAGTACTTGCTGGAATGCATCTATACTCATGGTAAAATGGGAAGTTAGTGATGTGTGTTGGTTCTGTTCAACATGAAACTAGTGACTATATTGTGTGTTTAACCTATTTCCTCTCATCCTTCTTTTTCTGCTCTTCAGGTTCTTCTTATTTGTGGAAAAAACAATAAGTTGGCTCATGTGTCTGAGCCAAGTACTTGTGTTTACTCTCTGACATTTGAGACTCCTCTTGCTTGCCATCCTCATTCTCTTTTAGGTAGGTTGGATAAAAAGGTCTGTGCGTGTGTGAGAGGCAGGTGGCATTTTACCCAAGCCTTTAAGTTTAGATTTCTGGTTTATTAGTTTGTATCATTAAGTAAATGTAACATTGTTTATTACAAGCATTTCTAAAGTACCTATCACTATAATAATTGGGCACTCTTATCTGAGCTTGCAAAGTCCCTACGATCAGTTCAGTGGCATTTCTCTGTATGTAATGGGATAACTTTTGAAAACTCCATCCAGTTAATTCGAAAATTTCAGGGAATGTTCTTGGCATTAATTGTCAGAACACTATTTGATCTTGGGGAAGAGCAGAAAACCAAAAGTGGGGAGATTGGGGAACAAAAGAGACCCTGACCACAGCCTTTAGCCACAGCTTCTAGCATCTTTACAATTATCTGTAGATCACAGAGCTAGTTCATGGTTTCCATGAACATTTTCCAGCACAACAATACCCATGCTCATGTCAGCTTATCCTCCCAATAATGTAACATGTTGACATGCTGAATGACTTCTCTTCTGGACAGAAAATAATGGTGGTAGGGGAAAGGGAAATGGAGCGGCCTGGAGGGAGCAGAGAGAAGTTCACACAGCTGCTTGAATGTTAGGAGAGAATGGGGGGCCCTCATATGGAGGGAGGGAAGAAAGGAGCACATAGAACCTGTGGTGGGGGGGATGGAGATTGGGGGATCTGATATGGGGGAGAGAGGATTGTGGGGCACAGAGCCCATGCTGGGGGAAGATTGAGGGACTCAGGGAAGATGGGGAATAAGCATGCACACAGCCCCTGGCTTGGGGGCCAGAATGAAAGACCCCCCAGACAATTGGAGCAGACAGATGCCCTAGCATGGGGGATTTGGAATGGGGGGCACACAGAACTCTTTTGCGGGGGTTGATTGGAGGACCCTGGTATGAGGAATGGAGTATGGGGGAAAGAGGATAATAGGATTCATGCTGAGCTGCTGGTATAGGGAGAGAATGAGGGACCTGGTATGGGAGGGGAGGGGAGTGGGGGGCACACAGACCCTTGTACGGAAGAGATTTGGGTGAATTGCAGGGAGTCCCTGGAAAAAGAAGGGGATGGGATGGTGGGCATACAGAGAGCTTGTGGGGGAGGGAATGGAGGAATAGAAAGAGCATTGTAATAAATTCAGCCTACATAATCTACAAACAACACCTTGGTAAATTTATTTGTGTACAAGAGCGTAGTTCTCTCGTTCTCACCACTTCCATCCCAGTCTCCAATTAGACAAGTCAGTGGATACATTCATCAGTTTGGAAAAATGTCTGCATGAAGAAATATTCCCTGAAGGTAGTAAGAGTGAGGCTCAGCTCTAAGAGGGTGTTACAGAGATAATTGGGCCCCAGCCCTTTTGGGGTTTTGTAAATGGTCATTCTTAGATGGGATGTGTTTCAGTAATTTATAAGTGAGGAGGGTGCAATCAGGATGTCATCCAGCAGAGAAGGGTGCAGGCTTTTAGACAGCTGGAGCTGAAAGAAGAAACCTTTGGTCACTGCTGCTGTCTGGGAGCATTAGACCTCTAGGGCCTGCTCCTGTTCCCATTTGAAGTGATGGAGAAAATTCCTATTGATTTAAATAGGATTGAGGAGCAGGTCCAGGCAAGTGAATGTAGCAGTTTGTTGTCTCAATGGTGCATGTTGAAGTGAAGCATTAAGCTGTTAAAACACACACATAGCAGCACTAGGGTTACATTCAAATAATTAAGGAAAATGTAGCTGTTAGTATTTATGACAGCTTTACTTTCCATTTTTCAGTTTATCCAACACTGACTGAAGTCCTACGAAGGAAGTGGGATGAAGCAGAGCAGTCTCTTTACGATGAGCTGATAACTGAACAGGTTTGCTGATCCATTCTGATTTCTTGTTAAAGGACTGTCACTTTCAAATTACTATAGTACTGACCTGTTTTCTACAGTTCCAGCTCTTTTTGGGATAGATGTTTTTATCCTACTATTGGCAAAAACTCTTAGAGCTATGCATCTAGATACAGTTTATTGGTAATCACAAAACCTTGTAAAATAAATAGCCAATGCAAATTACAAACAGAAATAGAATGGCTTTATGTAATGTCTTTGTTTTTCCAGGGGTACAAAAAATTGTTGAAGGAGATTTTTGAGGAAGCAGGACTTTTAAGCGCAACAGAAGAAAAGGAGATTGAGAAAAAAAAAAAAAAGTTAAAAAGTCTGGAATTTGAAACCGTGGAGAAATGCAATAAGGTATAGAAAGTAATTCTTAATGCTTGTCTGATACATTTTATCAACATGGAGAATCACTATCCTTCTGCTGTGTGACTGAGCCACTGGGCTCTCAGCCAAGCTGCCTGTCTGTTGTTAGGATTCAGATAGTCTGCTCCCTTAGTTATCTTCTGTTGCCTAAATAACAGTATATTTAAAAATAAATAGAAATGGCAGAACTTATTTTAATGCTGAAAATTGGAAACAAACTGCATTACTGAATGCCTTTCCAGGAGATATTAGGCGGTGGTATATAGGAAGTAGTTATATACCTAGGTGACGTGCATTTTAGACATACTCTCATAAAGTGGGGTCCGCACGGGATTAAGAAACAGAAGGGAGTTAGTGAAAGTGGAAGGTGGACCAGAGCCTTGTGACAGATGGGTATTTGGTAATCATATAATATATACACTATGCTGAAACATTCAGGCCATTTTACAAACCAAAGGCCCAGTGGTTTATATCATGTATCCTTTAAATTCTGTCTGTGTGCGCCTGTATCTACAACTATATATGTCTATACACATATATTCTGCAGGTTTCAGAGTAACAGCCGTGTTAGTTTGTATTCGCAAAAAGAAAAGGAGTACTTGTGGCACCTTAGAGACTAACCAATTTATTTGAGCATAAGCTTTGAGCTGTAGCTCACGAAAGCTTATGCTCAAATAAATTGGTTAGTCTCTAAGGTGCCACAAGTACTCCTTTTCCTTTTGCATATATTCTGCAGCAGAATTTACAAGGCTTGTTAGTATGAATTAAAGGCAAGCGCTAAGCACTAAAACTGAAGTGCATAGTATGTATGGAGAGAATACATTCATCCTAAAAGTTCATGTGCTATGGTTATACCTTCTCATTGATGTACTGAGATTCACTGACAGGGTATGGAAAGGTGTCCTAGATTACAAAGCAAGAAGGAGACCATTGTGGTCATCTAGTCCAGTGGCCTCCAAACTTTTTGGCTCGCGCACCCCCAGGGCGAAGAGCGGAAGACCAGCCACAGGTGCGCCGCCGACGAAAGAAGAATGGAAGACTTACTGCAGGCGGACCGCCAGAGGGGAACACCAGCTGTGGACGTGCAGAGCTGTCGCCGAAGAAAAACAATGGCGGAGTGCCATCCGGCGGCACTCCTGCTGCCGCGCACCCCCTGGGATCTGCACGCACCCCAGTTTGGAGACCACTGATCTAGTCTGACCTCATGCTTAGCAAAGGCTATAGAATTTCACCCATTCATTCCTGCATCAGGCCTAATAACTTGTGATTGAATTAAATAATCTCTCTTAGAAAGATATATGTGGTGATTTAAAGCAAAGGAGAATCCACCACATATCTTCTTGGGTTGGTCCAGTTCCATGGACAATGGGTATAATAGGCCAGGGGAGGCTCTGCCTTCCCCTGTGGTGCCGTAGCGGCCAGACACCCCCCCACCTCCCGTTGCGCGGTTTGGCGGTGAAGTTTTTGTTTTATTATGCCCCATGCAGGTTCCAGAACGAATGAGGAGGCACATACTGCCTCCTCAGCCATCCTGGAAGTTGCATTGGGCATATCAGAAGTGTCTTAACGGACGCTTTTCCTCTGCGTGGGTTGGGTCTGGGGAGGGGAGGCATGGCGTGGCTTTCGCCAGCTCGAGGCTTCTCTAGCCAAGGCGGGGAGCACTCAGGGCTTCCCATGGCTGGGGGGGTGGGGGCACTCTGGGTGGGGGGGTGGGGCTTGTAGCTCTGGCCGCAGGGGGTCTTGGGGCTCTGGCCATGGGGAGGGCGTGGGCGGAAGGTGCAGAGCCAGGGGCTAGCTTCCCCAAAGTAGGGCTCAACCCGCTGCTCATATCCAATTCTATTGAAAATGTGAACCTTATTTTCAATTTTAATTTATCTAGCTAGTGATGAATATTATGGGATTCCAGCCTTTCCTTATAGCAGTGGTCTCCAATCTTTTTATGCCCAAGATCACTTTTTGAATCTAAGGGCAACTCAGGATCTACCCGTCCCTTCCCTGAGGCCTCGCCTCTTCCTCAGAGCCCTGCCCCTCTCACTCCATTCCCTCCACCCCGTCGCTCACTCTCCCCCAACCTCACTTTCACCAGGCTGGGGCAGGGGTTGGAGTTTGGGAGGGGGTGCAGGCTCTGGGCTGGAGTCGAGGGGTTCACAGTTTGAGAGGGGGCTCTGGGATGAGCCTGGGGCAGGAGGTTGGGGGGCAGGAGGAGTTTGGGGTGCTGGCTCCAGGAGCGGGCTCAGGGATGGGGGTTTGGGTGCGACCTCTCGCTGGGCAGCACTTACCTCTGGTGGCTCCCGGTCGGCGGTGGGTGCAGCGAGGCTAAGGCAGACTCCCTGCCTACCCTGCCCCCACACTGCTCCTGGAAGGGGCCAACACACCCCTGCAGCCCTTAAGGTGGGGAGAGCAGATGGCATGTGGCTCCACGTGCTGCCTCTCTCTGCAAGCACCGCCCCTGCAGATCTCCCGGCCAATAGGAGCTGCAGGGGCAGTGCTTGCAGGCAGGAGCAGTGTGCACGTGGTCGCGGGGCTGCAGTGGCCACTTCTGGGAGCGGTGTGGGGGCAGGGTAGCATTAGGCAGCCACACTGTGCCTCCGCCAGAGATCGTGATTGACAGGGAGATCCTCTAGGATCGACCGGTTGGTGACCACTGCCTTATAGTTTAATGGGTATAAACATAGCTGTTCATTAAAGCTTCTGTAGTTATGGAGTAGCCACAGATCTTCAGAAGTAAAACATTTGCGGCTGGGTTGTCAGGCAGCATCTTTGAGACAGAGACTGACCCTGGAGCAGCCTTTGGGAGGGAGTTAACAGCTGTAGTGCTATAAAAATCTAGTCAAAGGGCAGACCTGAGGTGTTTGTTGGGAAGGAATTCCTGGTCTGAGTGCCTGATTCATAGTCCCAGATTTCTGTAGAGGAGCAGTTGGAACCAGATGCTATTGGGTAATATCTTTCAGAAACACAGGCTGTCTTTTTTTATAGCTGACAATAATTGTTCTTTGTTCATAAGACCTACCATACTGGGTTAGACTAAAGGTCCATCTAGCCCAGTATCCTGTCTTATGACAGTGGCCAATGTCAGGTGCCCCAGAGGGAATGAACAGAACAAGGAATCACCAAGCGATCCATCCCCTGTTGCCCATTCCCAGCTTCTGGCAAATAGTCTAGGAACACCATCTGTGCACATCCTGGCTAATAGCCATTGATGGACCTACCCTCAATGAATTTATCTAGTTCTTTTTTGAACCATTATAGTCTTGCCCTTCACAACATCCTCTGGCAAAGAGTTTCACAGACTGACTGTGCATTGTTTGAAGAAATACTTCCTTTTGTTTGTCCATCACTTTGATGAACCTCATGCACAAGTTAAACAGCCTGTTTTTGGAACTCTTACACCATAAGAATGGTCTGACTCAGTGTGGCCAGTGGTCCATCTAGCCTAGTATCCTGTCTTCAATCAATGTCTAATGCCAGATGCTTCAGAGAGAATGAACAGAGTGGGGCAATTATCAAGTGATTTATACCCTGCCATCCAGTCCCAACATCCAGCAGTGCAAGGCTTAGGGACAACCCAGAGCATGAGGTTGCATTCCTGACCATCGTGGCTAATAGCTGTTGATTGACCTATCCTTCAGGAACTTGTCTAATTCTTTTTTGAACCCACTTATACTTTTGGTCTTCACAACGTCCCATGGGAACAAGTTCTACAGGGTGACTGCGTTGTGTGTAGTAGTACTTCCTTTTGTTTGTTTTAAACCCGATGCCTATTAATTTCATTGGATGACCCCTGATTCTTGTGTTCTGTGAAAGGGTAAATAACACAATATGTATTCACTTTCTTCACACCATTCATAGTTTTATAGACCTCTTATCATATCTCCCCTTCATCATCTCTTTTCTAAACTGCGTAGTCCCAGTCTTTTTGATCTCTCCCCATATGGAAGCTGTTCCATACCCCTGATATTTTTGTTGCCCATCTTTGTACCTTTTCCAATTTTAATATCTCTTTTTTGAGCTGGGGAAACCAAAACTGCACGCAGTGTTCAGGGTGTAGGCAGACTATGGATTTATATAGTAGTACTGTGATATTTTCTGTTGTATTACCCATCCTTTTCCCAATGGTTCCTAACATTAGCTTTTTTGAATGACTCTGCACATTGAGCAGATATTTTCAGAGAACTGTCCACAATGATTCCAAGATCTCTTTCTTGACTGGTAACAGCTAATTTATTTGTATAGTTAATACTATGTTTTACAATGTGCATTACTTTGCATGTATCAACATGGAATTTCATTTGCCATTTTGTTGCTCAGTCACCCAGTTTTGTGTTATCCCTTTGTAACTCTTTCTGTCTGCTTTGGACTTAACTATCTTGAGTAATTTTGTATTGTCTACAAATTTTCATAGAATATCAGGGTTGGAAGGGACCCCTGAAGGTCATCTAGTCCAACCCCCTGCTCGAAGCAGGACCAATTCCCAGTTAAATCATCCCAGCCAGGGCTTTGTCAAGCCTGACCTTAAAAACCTCTAAGGAAGGAGATTCTACCACCTCCCTAGGTAACGCATCCAGTGTTTCACCACCCTCTTAGTGAAAAAGTTTTTCCTAATATCCAATCTAAACCTCCCCCACTGCAACTTGAGACCATTACTCCTTGTTCTGTCATCTGCTACCATTGAGAACAGTTTAGAGCCATCCTCTTTGGAACCCCCTTTCAGGTAGTTGAAAGCAGCTATCAAATCCCCCCTCATTCTTCTCTTCTGCAGGCTAAACAATCCCAGCTCCCTCAGCCTCTCCTCATAAGTCATGTAATTTTGCCACCTCACTTCATTTTGCCACCTCACTGTTTACCTTGTCCAAATCATTTATGAATATGTTGAACAGCACTGGTCCCGATACAGATCCCTGGGGGACTCCACTATTTACCCCTCTCTTTTCTGAAAACTGCATTTATTTCTACCGTTTGTTTCCTGTCTTTTAAACAGTTACTGATTGATAAGAGGACCTTTCTTCTTATCCTGTGACTGCTTATTTTACTTAAGAGCCTTTGGTGAGGGACCTTGTCAAGTCTTTCTGAAAGTGCAAGTACACTATATTGACTGAATCACCTTTGTCCACATGTTTGTTGACCCCCTCAAAAAATTCTCATAGATTGGTGAGGCATGATTTCCCTTTATAAAAGCCATGCTGATTCTTCCCCAACAAATCGCGTTCATCTCTGTGTATGATAATTCTGTTCTATACTATAGTTTCAACCAGTTTGCATGGTACTGAAATTAGGCTTACTGCCCTGTAATTGCCAGGATTGCTTCTGGAAACTTTTTTAAAAATTGGTGTCATATTAGGTATCCTCCAGTCATCTGGTAAACCAAGATTCCAAACATGTTTATTTTTCCCAGTGGCTTTCCCAACTATGCTTGGACATTTTATACTTGATGCAAACTGAATTTTTAAGTAGACATATGTATTTGGGCAAAACATATTGTCCATTTTAAAAATATTTTTTATTCTAGGAGTACAAGAAACTTTCTAAAGAAATAAAAAAGCTTAAAGATTTATTAACTCAACATGGTATTGTGTATGAAAGAAACTCAGGTAAGTTCTTTGTGTAGTTCTACTTTCTCATTCCTATCTATTTAGAATGTGAATGCTCAGCTTTCTCTTTTTAAAGATCAGGATAAACAAATAATCTTCAATCGGAGGGGGTCAAGCCCCATCGTAAAGCATACTGCATGTGATTTTGACTGAACAGACCCTTGACTGTGAGAACTTGTTTAAAAATATATGTAGGTTTTTATTAGTGTCAGCGTTTACAATGGGATGTAGCTGCTACCACTTCTATTTTGGTATACTTTGAGCTTCAGTCTCGGATTTTTCCCCTCCATGCAAAGTGTTAATGTCCACAGCATTTGAGACTAATATTTTCATCTCATTTCTCCCAACACACACCACCAATAAAATCTGCTCCCATAAGTATGTGAAATGTTCTCCTTTGGTGTGTGTAAAGTCTCCTCCTTCATACCTCATTCCACTCTCTGCTGGTCAGTTTCTCCCCTTCACTGGCCTCCGCTGCAGATATGCACCACCTGTCCCATGCTACTACCTGGTGTGAAGGAGAGCAACAGCAGGAGGGTGGGTCCTGGCTGTGATGAAGCAGTCTGGATTTACTCCAGGCAAGTTCCAGTCTCACCCTGCCTCCCAGCAACCAAGTTACCTCATTCTTCTCAGTGCCTGTTCCTCTCTTATCCTGTCAAATTCCAGTCCCTTAGTTAATTCCCAAAGTCACACATGATACCCCTTGGACATTTAGCTTTCTAAGGTGCACCTCTTTGTAGCTTGTGTGTTCAGAGATTGGCATCTCAGTGAAATATTAGGCGGTAACCTAATAACTAGAACTGAGCAAGCGATAAATTTTCATTTTGTAGTTCTTTTCTGTATGAGAAACTTTCATTTTCATTATGTGAAATGAGTGACTTTTTTCAGGGAAAAAAATCTTGTGTTGGAACGTATGCAGATTATAGATTTGATTTAGTTACATAAATTACGCAGGATTTCTGTTCACTGACTGGGTAACTTGTGTAACCATATAGAGCAGAATTTGAATTGTATATTCAAGAGCAAAAATCACAGTTTGCATTGGATGACTTATTGTAACTCAACATCAGAGGGGGAGCTGTGTTAGTCTGTATCCACAAAAAAAACGAGAAGTCCAGTGGCACCTTAAAGACTAACAGGTTTATTTGGGCTTAAGCTTTCATGGGTAAAAAACTCACTTCTTCAGATGCATGGAGTGAAAATTACAGATACAGGCATAAATATATATTGGCACATGAGGAGAAGGGAGTTACCTTACAAGTGGAGAACCTACGTTGAAGGCCAATTCAGTCAGGGTGGAAGTGGTCTGCTCCCAATAATTGAGGAGGAGGTGTGAATACCAAGAGAGGGAAAATTGCTTTTGTAGTGAGCCAGCCACTCCCAGTCCCTATTCAAGCCCCAGTCGATGGTGTTAAGGAAGTGGCTGGCTTACTACAAAAGCAATTTTCCCTCTCTTAGTATTGATTATTGGGAGTGGACCACATCCACTCTGACTGAACTGGCCTTCAACATTGGTTCTCCACTTGTAAGGTGACTTCCTTCTCTTCATGTGCCAATATACATTTGTCTGTATCTGTAATTTTCACTCCATGCATCTGAAGAAGTGGGTTTTTTACCCACAAAAGCTTATGCCCAAATAAATCTGTTAGTCTTTAAGGTGCCACCGGACTCCTCGTTGTTTTTGTTACTCAACAGTATTCTATGATTTATTGTGACTATGTAAAATCATATAACTTGCAGCTTTTATTCTGAAAAGTGAAGAAATAACTGACATTTTACAATTAAATATTTCAGCTGAAAATACAAGTGCTGAACACGTCATTCATAAAGTGGTGACTACAAAGCCAAGTGTTCTGAATGGCTCAAAGGCTAATGAACACCTACGGGGAGACACAGGCATTTGGAATGACACCTTTTAAAGAAATTTGTCTGGATGATAAATATCAAGTTCATATAGACTAAAATATTGAGCAAATTGGATGCATATCACAGTACTAAGATAATTTAAAAACGCTTTGTGAATATTTCTAATGCTCTGTATTCTTGCCCTAAGGCAATGGGAAGGGAATGTTTGAGTTAAAGTCTGGTGCTGCCATTGCAGACAGCTGTTGTAGTTCAGTTTACAAGGTTGTTTAAGTTGTAAAAATTCTCTTTGCTGAAACTGTTACCAATGATTGGTCTGCAGACTCTACTTCTCCAATCTCAGTTCTGTGCTGTTTGCTTTGATCAACTATTGCTCTAATGAGAGTGAAAGGTGATTGGTTGTATACCCAGCAACTGTATTTCTGCCTGACATGAGTGGAATAGTTTTGTCCTTAAGTTTGGATAGATTAGTAAACTTCTTAACCGCTGATAGCAGGGGCAGTTTATTTGCCTTTGTGGGAAGTAGTTCACACTGTACTTCCTAATCCTGTAGCAGCACTGATGAGGCTGGAAGGATGGAGTGATGTGGAATCTTTAGCCAGAGATGAACATGTGAGCAAAAAGCAAAATCTACCTTCTAGCCTTTCAGGTAGATTATATACAGTATACTCCTATTTATCCAAAACCCGATTATCCAAACCTCTGCATTATCCAAATCCCTTCCTTGTCCCCCAGCATGAGATATATGCCCTCTGCAGCAGGTATCTTATGCTGGAGGATGAGGAAGGGATTCAGATAATGTGGAGGTTGTGGTAATAGAGCAGATACTCCTAGCCAGGAGTGCAAGGAGGATGATCCCCTGCTACCATCCTGCTGTTGAATGGGAGTGAATGGGGCTCCTCTGCAGCACTGCTGTCATGGGAGTGAATGGGGCTAAGACAGCAGAGCTGCAGAGGGCTCCCTGTGCTGCCGCAGCGCTGGTGACACCCAATCCCTTCAGGCACAAGGTGCAGTGGGAAGGCTGTGGTCCTGGTAGGGCAGAGCAGAGACCTCGGCAAGGACCCCGCTCTGCCCTGCCAGAACTTCAGCCTTCCTTGTGCCTGCAGAAAATTTGGTGTCACTTGTCCTGTGGCTGCACAGGGAGCCCTCTGCAACCTTGCTGTCACAGGAGCGAGTGGGGCAGAGCAGAGACCCCTGGCTAGGACTGTGAAGAGGATGACAAGCCCCTGGCTGTGGAGGAGGCCACCCTGCTGCTGAATGGCCTCTTGATTATCTGAACCAAATCTGTGTCCCTCATGCTATTCAGATAGTTGGAAGTACACTGTATTGAAAAAGATAGAAGGAAATGACTGCATAAAGACTAGAGAAATTACTCCACTTTAAAGCTGTAAGGTGTAAATAGTTATTCCTTTAACACCTATTTCCACACTAGCAGCTAATATTCACCTCTTACGCATCTCTGCTAACAATAACAAATTCTTGACTAAGACAACTATCACACTGTTCACTAAAAGTTGAGACTAACAGAACGACCATGTGTAAGTAGGATACTCTCCTCCTAACCTTCTGGTTTGCCTCAGGTGGCCATGGTGTTCTCTCGCAAGTTCTTTGGTATAGACTCAGGACTTCTTTGGCCCTGAGTGCTGCCCCCCTTCCCCTGACTTTTCTCTCCAGCCATCCACAGCTTGTTCCTGATCCTTCTAGTCACGTATTGGGGTACTGTCACAAACACTATCATTTTTTTTGTGCATTTTGCATTTACTACTCCAAACTTACATTGTAATAGATTTCAAATCAAGGAAATCTTAATTATCCATTCAGCGTACGCTGTGCATAATGATGTCAGATGTGAATGCAAAATAATTACACTACTTTTCAGACAAGATCTTGCAAACTGAGGTAGAGTCTGCACTACATGAACATTAAAATCTCCTTGCCAGTTTAAAGAGTAAGCCTTTTTTCTTTTGGCTTAGGAAAAATGTTCCTTCCCTCTGTGGTGTGTATTATTTGCAATTGTAGTTGTCCCGCACTAGGATTGTTTGCATTTGAGGGGTGCTTACACCTTGCAATTCTTATGAATGAAAAGTGAAAATCAAATTTTTTTTTACAGAAGACCAATAATGTTTAAGGAGCGTACCTCTATTCTGTATATTATTATAAAGAATAAATGTATGGATTCTTCTAACAAAGTTGTGGAGAGTTATACTAGCAAGTTGTCCAGCAGCAAGGACATCATTTGTACATAAATAATAATTACAATTCTTTCACTTGCTGTGTTTAGCTAACCATGACCATCTGCTAATTCAGGGGTTCTCAAAGTGGGGTTTATGACCCCTAAGGGAGTCATGAGGTTATTACATGGGGAATTGCGAGCTGTCAGCCTCTATCCCAAACGCCACTTCACCTCCAGCATTTATAATAGCGTTTATTTTTAATTTATAAGGGGGGGATTGCACTCAGAGTCACTAGTACAAAAGTTTGAGAACCACAGTGCTAACCTACAGTAGATTCTGCTGAGCCTCCAATCTTCATTTTAGCACCAACCATTTTCCTCAACTTATATAGGTTGTATTGGTGACTTTACCATAACTGTTACCACTGTGTGAAGTTTTCTCCCCTCCCTTGGAAGCCAAATTTAACAAAAGTCAGCTGATCTATGCAGCAGGTGGGTGGTAGTAAAAGCAAGTTGCCCTTCTGAAGACCAGTAACTCCATCAAGACATCCAAACGTAGGCTGAAGACTATCAAATCTTAGCTATGCTGTCCCTAGGAATCTTTCTGATATCAGTTAGGAAGAAGCTTACCTGTACATCCCCATCAGTTGCATCCGATGAAGTGAGCTGTAGCTCACAAAAACTTATGCTCAAATAAATGTTAGTTTCTAAGGTGCCACAAGTACTCCTTTTCTTTTTGCGGATACAGACTAACATGGCTGCTACTCTGAAATCTGTCATAATACTTAGTCTTTCCCTGACAGCAAGGGACGGGACTAGATAACCTCTTGAGGTCCCTTCCAGTCCTATGATTCTATGCTATGGAAGCTAGTCCATACCCTTAGTAATCTTTGTTGCTCTTCTCTGTACCTTTTCTAATTCTAATATATATTTTTTTGAGATATGTCAACCAGAAAAGCACACAGTATTCAAGGTGTGGGCATACCAGATTTATATAGTGGCATTGTGATACTCTGTCTTACTAACTATCCCTTTCTTAAGGGTTCCTAACATTGTTAGTTTTTTGGACTGGTGCTATATATTGAGGGGATGTTTTCAGAGAACTATCCACCATGATTCCAAGATTTTTCTTGAGCAGTAACAGCTAATTTAGACCCCATCAATTTGTATGTATAGTTGGGATTATGCTTTACAATGTGCATTACTTCACATTTATCGACATTAAATTTCATCTGCCATTTTGTTGCCTAGTCACCCAGTTTTGAGAGATCCTTTTGTAGCTCTTTGCAGTCTGCCTGGGTGTTAACTGTCTTTAGTAATTTTGTATTGTCTGCAGATTTTGCCATCTCACTGTTTACCACATTTTCCACATCATTTATGAATATGTTGAACAGCACTGGTCCCAGTACAGGCCCCTGGGAGACACCACTATTTACCTCTCTCTATTCTGAAAATGGACCATTCCTACCCTTTGTTTCCTGTGTTTTAAGCAGTTACTGATCCATGACAAGACTTTCCTTCTTATCCCATGACTGCTTGCTTTGTTTAAGAGCCTTTGGTGAGGGATCTTTAAAAGGCTTTGCAAGAGTCCCCATATGCTGTATCCACTGGATCACCCTTGTCCACATTCGTTGACCCCCTCTAAGAATTCTAGTAGAATTTTATCAGTGACCTAATGCTAATATACTCACGGGAGGAGGTGACTAATTGAAACGTGCCAATTATGCATAGTCTATTATGCATTTCTATTACTCTTGAAATCCTCCACCATTACTGTTGTAAGAAGGAGATGGGAGAGGCATGCATCTTGAATTAGTTGTAAACTCTTTGGGGGCCTTGCCTGTCTTTTACTGCATCTTTGTACAAGGCCCAGGACAATAAGGACCCCAGCCCTATGGATTTTGCTGTATTGGTATTAATAGGAGCAAGTCATGAGCTCGTAGTGCATGTGCATTGCTGGATAATATGCTTGAGGCATCTACTTTCCAGGAAGATAATGAATTTACCAGGCACTAATCATGTACCTAGTTCAAATTATATACCTGGAACTAGTGTCAGCCACATCTCACATGACAGTTTTCTGCTCAAGACTATTTAATCAAAGTACACATTTGCATGAACCAGATTTCCATCATTATTTGTATATACAAGCCAGAAAACACCCCATAACCTATTCTCTATCTAAATGGGCACCCTTAATATAATTTTAAAGATATATGGAATATATGTAAGTTTTTATACCCAGCTAACCATGGCAGCATTTGAGTGCTTTGGAGTAGTGCATTAAGCAATGTGACTGCACATCTGTGATAGGCTGTTTGTTCTCACATCCTCTCCTCTGATGGAAAAGCATGTTTTATTATAAACGCAGAGAACTCCCTAAAAACACACACCTAGCCCTGGCGCTACTCTCAAACCATGTTCCAAGATACATGCTTATCTCAGTCCCAGTCTCCGTAAACCTGGGTAAAAAGATAAGCTTGTCAGCATGCCTTGAGAATAAATAAGCTTGCTCTGTTTGAAACCCAATGGAAGGAGGCAAGAGAGATATTTTAATCGGATCCAGACTTTCATGTCAGGTTGTATACAAACAGCACTGTGAAGCCATCAGACTGCAAGCCTCACTTTGGTTTGTGCTGAACGTACAGCTGGAATCAACTGTGGCAATACTGGACCAGCAGTTCTGTCCAATGAGCTCTTCATCAAGGAACATGCAAAGAAACCCCCATACTGGGTAGCATGCTCAGGAAACGCATAAGGAGCCTTCAAGGATTACGCAGAGACCTTGGTGCTTTTGGAAACATCTTATCTTAGTCTATGCCAATTCTGCCCAGCTGTAGAGAGACCAGAGAAAGAAGGTAGTATCAGTGACACACATTTACCAGAAACCCTTATGCAATGAGTAAATTCATCACTACTACAATATAAACAAACACATTAATGGGGTAAAAGCCTGAGAGGAAAAAATACTTAGCTCCTTCCATACTCAATTCAGTAAGACCTTATAGGTAGAACAAGGTTTGCATGTGTTGCCAAAGTGTAAAAAGGAGATCACCAATAGGCTAACAGCTATCACTTAGAATCATAGAATATAAGGGTTGGAAGGGACCCCAGAAGGTCATCTAGTCCAACCCCCTGCTCGAAGCAGGACCAATTCCCAGTTAAATCATCCCAGCCAGGGCTTTGTCAAGCCTGACCTTAAAAACCTCTAAGGAAGGAGATTCTACCACCTCCCTAGGTAACGCATTCCAGTGTTTCACCACCCTCTTAGTGAAAAAGTTTTTCCTAATATCCAACCTAAACCTCCCGCACTGCAACTTGAGACCATTACTCCTCGTTCTGTCATCTGCTACCATTGAGAACAGTCTAGAGCCATCCTCTTTGGAACCCCCTCTCAGGTAGTTGAAAGCAGCTATCAAATCCCCCCTCATTCTTCTCTTCTGCAGGCTAAACAATCCCAACTCCCTCAGCCTCTCCTCATAACTTGGGATGGATAACAGGAATGTGCCTGGCGTTTGATTCCCAATGCCCATTTGTCAGCAGTGTCCATTCCAGATTCTATGGCAGGTTACTATATAGCCCGATACCATCTCTGGTTTTTCACAGGACCCAAGCTAGAGCCTCTCCACTCCCCCTGCCGCCAGTGTCCACCCTCCTGAGGTTAAAGCACAGGGTAGCCTAGCTCACCCTAGAGAAGCTAATGAGGAGTCAGCAAACCAGCTGAAGAATGGGGGCGGGGTGCAGCAGGATCGTTTCCATGGATCTTAAATAAATGAAAATTAGGAGCCTAAATAGCTCTGGGTTCCGGGCATTGGGTACACTGCGCCTCTAAGGCCCCCGGGAAGGGCGCGGAAAGCCCCCCGCAGCTCGGAGCACGAGCCTCCTGCCCCTCCGCCCCACTGCGGACGGCTCACCCCATCTCCAGTAAGTGTTATCGCCTCTGCCCCTCCAACCGTGGCTCGCGCACCCTCTGCCCGCTCCGAGGCCCCTGCACACACGGCCCGTGGCCGTCCCGACCCCCCGCCAGCAGCGTGGACCTTCCGAGTGACGTAGCCAACGGAGGAGAGCGGCTTCAGAAGATATTACGGAGCATGCTCGGACACGCGCGCATGCTCAGTCGTCGCTAATTCCGACACTTCACCGGAAGGCGCCACGGCGTAGGGAGGTTTGGGGGTCTTGCGTTAGTCTCTCGGCCGACGCGCCAGTTCCGCTCCGTAGACCGGAAGTGTGTCACACTGCGCCGGACGTGACGCGTGGTGGTGGAACGGGATGAGCCGCGCGGTCCTGTGGCGCTGGCGGTGAGCGGTGGCGCGGGCTTGCTCCGTGTGGGGCTTTCCTGGGGCGGGGGTCGGATCCCGCCCGTGGAGGAGACGGGCCTGTGACTCGCTTTACGTCGCGTTTCTCCTTCCTTTTCTCCTTCCAGGCCGCTCCCGCTCTCTGGTCCCTTCTGTCCAGTGCGACGTCTCAGTCGGCAACCGGGGCCCGAGGATGTAGCGGAGTCTGAGAGCTCTAGGCCCATCCCCTTCTCCACCAGCAAAGCCAGCCCGCGGGTCTGGTCTGTGGACAGGTCCATGGGAAGTGACTATCGAAGACCCTGGGTGAAAGTGCTGCCGGTCAGCTTGCTAGGGATAGGGCTGCTGCTCTGGTGCGTTTTTAGGGAGGAGGCAGAAGTCGACGAGCAACTGGGAGCCGTTTTCCATGAGCAGGTGCCAGGCTTGTTAGATGAGACCCCAGAAAACAAAATGCTGCCACCATCCCAACAGGAAAAATGCTCACCTGCGGGAGGGTAGCTGTGATAGCAGGCCCCCTAGGAAACGGCTTGTATTCCAGGTGATCTGATGCTGCATTGACTTGCCCGGAAACTCTTGTTTTCCCCACACATCACCGTCTTTATTCTGCAAGCCTGATTCCTCGCCATCAGTGGTAATTCTTGGTAATCCTCATATAACTCATGGCAACAGAGATAATCAAGTGGACTCTTAAGTTGTGCATAGGTGCAATTAGAAGGTTGAATATGTGAACACGGCTGTACTGATACTGTCCATTTTGGACAACCTGTCCCCCATCATCTGACTTTTAAGATTTTGAATGTATTACAATATCAAAGTTAGGATACAAAAACATTAAGCCAAAGGTGACAATGACACTTGGATAACAAATTACTTTGTAAAGCATGGTGAAGATAGCTATATATGTATATGCATTATTACGATCAAGCTGAATGTTAACTTCATATTCTGTACTCTACTACTGTGTTAGGTCATGTGGAAGTGACTTCCATACAACTCTTTTAATGCACTGTCAGTAAGAGTTTAATAAATCTGTTTTCTACACTACAGAACTAAACATAGCTCTATGGTTGAGATGGACTTTCTCTGTCATCAGTAGAAAAGATCCTTTTGCAGTAGATGTAACTGAACAGTTCATTCATGAAGGCAAAAAAACAATCCTCTTAATTGTGAAGAGCAAACCAGTATCTGGGTAAATCTTAATTGCAAAATTAATCCTAACTTTTCAGGTTTTAAAATCATACATCCTACTTACTACTGGCTTTTAGAAAACTTTTCCTAGCAAGAGAAGGAGTTGAAGCCATCTATTTCTACAGAATTTAAGTTTTCATTTAAAAAACAAAAATTAATCTTCTAGCTTTTAAGATTGCAAAAACTGTCTTCCAGCTGTGACTCACATGCATAATGGATGCAAAACTGTTTTCCTGATCCTGCAGCCCAACTACTCTAGTGTGTCTGCTTCTGCTCACAGTTTTACTAAACAGAAAAGTAAACTTCATAGCTACTATTTAAAATGCCTGTAGTTGCAGGGAAACTGGTAGGAATCATGTTGGGCTAATGTTGTTACAGCTTGGTAAAGCTGTAAGCAACAACCAAAGTTATGTTTTCTGTGGAATCTTGCTGTTGCCCCCTCCCTAATCTGTCATAATCTCTCATGGCTAGAAGGTGTCTGGTAAATTTCTCAAGTCCAGTTTTTTGAATCCTAATTAAATTGGTTTAACAGTTATAACAAAGACTGATAGCAATGAAACAAATGAGGTATTTAAGGGAATGTCCTGAAGGAGGTGACAGGGTGGTCATGAACTTCACTGCCTTTAGAATCAAATGCAAAATTCATTTAGTCTTCCTCAAAATTCCCTTATTTTTCTCCACCTATCACCCCTTCTTATGTGTGTGGTTTTTAAAAAAGTCCAGTGCTGACTGGACTGAAGAACAAACTAAATCTTTGCAAAAAAAAAAAGAGTACTTGTGGCACCTTAGAGACTAACCAATTTATTTGAGCATGAAGTGAGCTGTAGCTCACGAAAGCTCATGCTCAAATAAATGTGGCACCTTAGAGACTAACCAATTTATTTGAGCATGAGCTTTCGTGAGCTACAGCTCACTTCATGCTCAAATAAATTGGTTAGTCTCTAAGGTGCCACAAGTACTCCTTTTCTTTTTGCAAAGACAGACTAACACGGCTGTTACTCTGAAAACTAAATCTTATATACATACCTCTTTAATTTCATGATGGGTGGTAGATAAGACCCTATAAAGTTTGAGTATAACCCAGCAGCTATATGTGTTTTTTTGTTTAAACCACTTCTCAGTGTCATAGAATTATTTACCTTTCCAAGTGGTGACTCTTAAATTTTACACATATACTGTGATATACAGTATGTGGGAAGCTAGCGCTGAAGTTACAAACATCTGAAGATGTGGTACACTTGTGCATAGTAGAAAAGTGCAGTGCTATTTAAAAGAATCTTAAAACATACTCTTAATGTGTTTAGCTGTGTAGTAAAATACCTAAGCCACTGAGCTCCTTTAAATATAAATTAACTACGAACTGGTGTTGGTACCTCCCATATAATTTACAAGAATAACTACAAGCCTAGGAGATTATTTCTACATCTTTCTCTGCCTTGCCTTAATCTTGTATATTATCAGAGTGCTTTACAAGACCTCCTGAAATATTATTTCTGTTTTATAGGTGATAAAACTGAGGCTTAGAGCTGTGACATTTATGAGTTTGGGAATCAGAAGTAGAATCTTGGTCCCTTAGTACTTGGTTTATGCCTCATTCACTAGACCAGTGGCTTCCTGGGCAGACAAACTTATTCTCAAATAGTAAAATTGGGTTAATACTGCAGAATGAGATGAGCCTTCTTGCTAAACGGTTAGCAAGTGGTGGATTTATGGGTATCCTCAGTTGAAGCCTTGAGGCAGTCTGTGGGAAAGAAGTCTTACAACTGACAGATGGACTGAGTATTTGACCCTGTCTGTGACTGTAGTTATAGGATCAGCATTAGGGATGAGGTTATGGGCCAGGGGGAGGAACTTAGTACTGCAGCAGCATCCAGGAGGAGAATATTTAACCTGTACCGTCTTCAAAGAGTAACAGTATTATAATAAGATTACAACAGAACCACCATTAAAGGTTAAAACTCTGAAATACATACAGAAAAGCATATTTCAGGGTATCGCTGTCAAAGAAGATCACATTTAAAAACAAAATGCTTCCCCCGTCCACCTCTTCTTTTGCCAACATCTAGGAAAGGCACGTGACTCTTTCAGTCCCTAGGCGGGGGCCAGGGAGCAAAGCCGGCAGCAGTAGGGCGGATCTAAGGTGTTGTGAGTAATGTATGGAGACGGTTTTGGAAGGCCTCATTTCAAGCAGCGTGCCGTTACAGTGAAGGGAGTTTCATTTCTGTGCCTTACCTGAGTCTGCTGCTCGGTCATCCCAGTGAGCGAGGAACCCTTGAGGCGTAGGCGGTAGTGATTGCTTGAGCGGCATCGCGGCGCGCCTAGGTGTGGCCCCGGCCCCCTGCAATCTCAGGCACACAAACCCTCTTTTTTTCCAGCGTCCCAGAGGTTTCCAAGCTGCAGAGTTAACGCAGCCCTGGGCCGCGGCCCCCCTGCGCTGTGAACAGTTTAGCGGCGGGGGAGGCATGAGTTGAGTAGCTCCCGCAATAGCTGTCGGCCGTGGGATCAGCTCCTCCCGTCCCCGACTCCCCCGCACGCCCGGGTGGGGTTTATCCCCCGGCCCAGCGGGGGACGAGGGTGGCTTCGCGCCGGGCGGGGCGGCGGGAGGTGGCCCTGGCCTGGCCGGCGCCTGCGCTGTGGCTACCGCGGAGGAAGATGCCGTCGGTTTCGAAAGCGGCTTCTCGAGGTGGCGGCTCCGGTGGGTCCCCGCAGACCGAGCAGCCGACGCACTATACGTAGGTATCAGGCCCTGGAGCCACCCTTCCCGCCCTCGCCCTGGCCCAGCGCCGGGCGGCGTCCTAGGCCCTCCGGTGACGGGCTTGCTTTCGCACCCAGCCTGGGTCCAGCGGCCTCTTGCTTCGGCAGCGGGTCTCGGGCGGCGGCCGGGAAGGGGCTGTGAGAGCCTGCTGCCCTCCGGCGCCGGAACCCGGCCCGAGAGCCCCTAACTCGCCCGCCGGCCCCGGAACCCGGCCCGAGAGCCCCTAACTCGCCCGCCGGCCTCGCCGTCCCCGAAACAGTGGCCGGGCGCCCCTAACCCACCGTACAGCCCTCTAATGTTCCTGAAACACCGCCCTACAGGCCTCCCCACCCTCCAAGTCGCCCCCAGCACCCCCAATGCTTCCACAGCCCCTAACAGCTCCTAATCCTCCTTAAACCGCTCCCCTGGCCTCCTATCATCCCCTAAATAAACACCACCATGCACCCAAGACACTCATAACCCTTGAGACACCCTTAAAGACTTCATAACCATCTCTTCGTTCCTCGACAGTCTTATACCCCCAGTAACCTAAACTACCCCTAAACAAACATAAGAAACATAGTCTGTGACTGTATCCCAGAAGCTCCTAGATAACCCTGACACCCCCCATAAACATCCCCAAAGCACATCCCCAATAACTGAATTACCCCCAGCCTCTAGATTACTGGGGATTTCCGAGGTAAACAGTGAAATAACTGCAAGTAACTTCATACAACCTGCCAAAAGCATCACATAACCCCCAGATGTCAATAGTTTGTGCAGTAACAATCTCCAATAACCAAGATCCTCCAAACTTCCAGTACCTTCCCTAAAAAGAAAAGGAGGACTAGTGGCACCTTAGAGACTAACCAATTTATTTGAGCATAAGCTTTCGTAAGCTACAGCTCACTTCATTGGGTACCTTCCCTAGTAACTTTTGTGTTCTTTTCCATCATCCCTGCTCTTTCTTGTCCCTGGGATAAACTCCCTCTTCTTCATTTCCTGCATTGTTCCTGTTCACTTCTACCCACCTTCCGTCTCCTACACGGGCATCCTGTAGACTACTGTACCAGTGTGAAGGGAATTGCAATCCGCCCCCCATCTCTCATGTTAGTGTTCCCAGGATAGGCTTCTATGCAATGTGAGTCTGTGGTGTGGAGTTATTGGAGTTAAGAGGCATTTCTAATACAAAACAAAATGTGGTTATTTGAAAAAGCAGCTCTAGTGGGATTATCTAATAGGAGGGAGTCTGAATTCATGTTCAAGTAACTTGTTTTGAAGTGCTTGGAACTGCTGTATGATTGTCACTTAGGGAAATCTAATTTGTAAATCCTGTAGATATGATTTTTGACTGTAGTATTTGATATAAATTAGGGCTGTCGATTAATCACGGTTAACTCACACGATTAACTCAAAAATTTAATAGTGTTTAACAATGCAATTAATCACGATTAATTTTTTTAAACAATAGAATACCAATTGAAATGTATTAAATATTTTGGATGTTTTTCTACAGAATATATTGTATTCTGTGTTGTAATTGAAATCAAAGTGTATATTATTCTTGATTACAAATATTTGCACTGTGAAAGATAAACAAAAGAAATAGTATTTTTCAATTCATCTCATACAAGTACTGTAGTGCAATCTGTGTTGTGAAAGTGAAACTTACAAATGAAGATTTTTTTTGTTACATAACTGCACTCAAAAACAAAACAATGTAAAACTTCAGAGCCTACAAGTCCACTCAGTCCTACTTCTTATTCAGCCAATCACTAAGACAAACCAGTTTGTTTAGGATTAGGATTCGGCCCTCTTCTTATTTACAATGTCAACAGAAAGTGAGAACTGGCATTTGCTTGGCACTTTTGTCACTAGCATTGCAAGGTATTTAAATAAATGGTATTCTATTATTTTTTAACAGTGCAATTAATTTTTTTAACCGCTTGACAGCCCTAATATAAACATTATTATTTAAGTTGTGCAACATAGTATACAGCAATTACATTGTGAACTTCAGTAGTAATGCATTTTTAATTAAAAATGGTCACATTTAATTTGTAGCTAAACAGTAAAATGTATGTAGAGAATATAATTTTACACAGGATAAAATTGTACACTCTCTCATGGGCTGCG